AGATAGTCAGGGGCGGGACCACTCTGATTGGCCGTGGTCCAGTAGAAAGTGTAGGTGGAAGTGGGAGGTGAGTAGCTTGAATAAAGCGATATCAATTCATTAAATCCTGACTTTTAAATATAACTGTGTTTTGCCAGAAACGCCACAAAACCATTTCAACAACAACCAAACAGCAGATGAGAGCAGGTACACGGATTCTACACAAAGACGTAAACACAGAGCCGACGCATCAGAATCAGCTTTGTCTTTCTCGGCTTTCTCACCCGACGGCCCGTAGACGGACACGCTGTCGGAGCTTAGCGATCCTGATGCGTCCGGTCCGCTGTGTTTACGTCTTTTTGCGCTGATTCTGAGCTGCAGGTTTTGTCTCTCCAGCAAAATTCACCGAGCTGAATTTTGCTGTTTTGCTTCCACGACTATTAAAATCACACTCCATGCACAGCTAGCTCTCTCTCTCTCTCTGTACTTCAAGAACAGTTTCCCGTCTCCAATCTCTGTTTTCTGTATTATTCATTCGCTTATTACCCACCAGTCTACCGTTGTTTACAGCTGTGCTGCTCTTCTTTCTTTTTTCACTTTTTCACTAAATGACCTCGGACAAGAAAGCCTATTTTTTCTGTTGTTCAATACTGAAGAAATTTAAACTTTATATGCAGAACATTGTAGAATATTTTTAAGGTTATCTGCTATAAAAAGCCAGACCAGGAAATCTCCTTCATGTTTTTCTGTGTTTTATTCTCAGTTACTTTCACACAAAGGCATCTGCTGTGATGTTCACAATTCTGATGAAGTCAGTACTGATAAATGATCAGAATTATAATATTTCTGACTGTCTGAGGCTAAGTTGAATCGAATCGGGACTTTGAAAACCGGAATCGAATGGATTATAGAAATCAGTGATGATACCCAGCCCTATGAGCAGCCTAGGCACGACAGAAGTGGATGTAGCTGTAATAGGAAAAGAACTATTGCTAACTTTTCTGTTAAGTTAAGGCCTGATCCTTCTGAAATTCATAGCCAGTGCTCTGACACGGTGTCATCAATCTTTGAATGCTGAAAAAGCCAGTGTATCCAGAAAACACATTATTATATAAATTATTATACAATTTGTGTGCGCCTAACTTTTGTGCCGGTACGCCCATGGCAAAAAGTTAGTCTAGAGCCCTGATATATAATAATGAGAAGTTTATTTCCCTAAAATCTTTGTTGCATGAGCCTCATGAAGTCTGGGTCTTTAGAAACACCCACACTATGCAGTGATTTAGAAAACTACTGCAGTATTGGCACAGAGTGCTGGTGCAAAGTCTTTAAATTGAAAACTAAAAAAAACAAAAAACATTTTAAATTACATTTAACATCAGACACATCAAATATTGTTTTTCAATAGAACACAATCTCAACCTTCCCTACACTCACACACAGACATTACAAGCCAGCTTCTGAATCATTTTGTTTTCTTAGTTTAAAAAACAAAACAAAAGAGGACAACAGCCTTTTCAGTCACACAGCAACATGTCATCTGGCTGGGGTGACTCCAGCCACAGGCGAGCGCTAAAGACGACCTCACTAACACACAAACACAAAAATGTAAAAAGCCTTTCAGAAATACTCGACAGCCTTTTTATTCACACCTTCAACAGCCCGTGTTAAATGAGTCATTTCCCTGAGAGCAAAGATAAAACACCTTGTCAGTCTACTGTATCATAGCACCGCGGGGACACTTTTAGAATGATGGCTTCATCATGGTTCCCAGATACACAGGCACTCACTTCCCACTAAATAAAGCTTAGATGGAGGAACTTACTGGGGTGATGTGGGTCACAGAAAGGCAACGGGTCCCATCGTTTTAACAACAGCACTGACCTTTATGTTCGAGTCTAATTGAATATGTTTGCTGTCCCACAGAACGTGCTGCTTGAGGAGTCAATTACATATGAAAAAACACAATTGTGAACAAAGGAGAGACAAAAATAAAACACAGAGGAGATTCCCCTTTCGAGTCATTAATAAAACAATGTAGCTAACCCTAACAGAGCCTATGATACTCTGCAGACCCTTGAAATTAATTTGAATGCCCTCATCTAATTGCTCTTTATGCGCCAGCCCATCAGCGTGTGTGGATTGCATATAAAACTGTAATTGAACGGCAGTGAGGTGGAAAAGAATAACTGCTTATGACACTATTAGAGTGCAGTCAAAATCACATTTGATTATTGGCTCAAAAAGTTTGGAATTGCATTACTACATATTATTGTGATCTTTGGAAAAAAGCAACAGACCCACACAGTAATGACAGGCTCATGCTTAAAAAGCCAGATTCATTTTAGCACAGAAATAACATTTAATTTAAACTGCAACAGTCATTGAATGAAACAAACCATCCTTAAAACTAACATCATTAAAATCAATCAATTGGTGGGCATTGGGGGGGTGGGGCTTGGAGCCTATCCCAGCTACCATAGTGCGACGGCAGAGTACCCCTGGACAGGTCGCGAGCCTGATGCAAGGCTAACATTAAACTAAAACAAATAAAATAAATTAGGGGCTCCACTATAGGTCAGCTGGTTGACCAGGCAATACATATGCCCCAACAAGGGTCTGGGCTCCATTTCTCCCCACACAATTTCATCTGGCCCCACCCTTTCTTCCTACTTTGGATAGTACAGAGTAGACTGCAGTCTAATAATCCTACAATGCCAAAAAAGAAATCTTAAAAAAACAACTAATTGAGAAGTTATCTCTGCTAAGTGTAGTGCTGAAGAGGCTACAGCAGCAGCCTGAGTAATGAGTCAACATCACCAGTGACCCACTTGCCATGGCTATACTGGATCCATTGTCATGCCTTCCTTTGGTTCCTAAAGACCTTGGTGATACTCTTCATGATCAGCTCCTCAACATTACCACGGCCTATTAACCCAGTTAGCCCGAGCACCTACTATTCCTCCTGGTAAATTAGCGCACGGCCATATGTGCCTGGCCTGGTGTGACAGAGTGATTTACCAATGTACAGAAAGTAAACCAGCCTGAGAAAAGGCTTTGGTAAGCACTCTCAGTGCCGACCCCATCTTGAATTGGAACATTATGAATGAGACACAGGCTGTGGAAGACAGAGGCTCGTGGTGTCTATCTGTTTATATGTGTGTTAAAATGCATGCATTCATGCTGTGATGTGGGCTTCCTGGCATATTTTTCTGCTGATTCGGCCATACTGCATACTCACTCATTCGTAGTAACTAGACATAGGGCTAGCCAACAGAACGGGGACACCTGGAGTGATGGTGTAGAATCAACAAGAGACTGTGTTCGTTCCGCTGTGTTTGTCACACTGATGAGAAATTCTGTTTGTATTTGGTCGTCTTGGCCATTTCAACACAAAAACCAGAGCTTAAGCTTAACAGTATTAGCTTAACTCTGTGCCATCTTCCACTTCATGTTAGGCTTAACTGTAAAAGGTTAAAATCAAACACGGCACCCCGTAAAAGAAAACAGTCATTCTAAGACAAAACAGATTTTGTACTGTTGCTATGTAGGCTGAAAAAAACTCATCACGAGTCATTCAACAGGCGTCTTTAACCCAGTTAACACAGGGCCAGTCTTGTCTCAGATAGACAAAATGATAGAAACTAAAAGAGAAAAACTAATTACTGACCTGCAGCATGTAAATGTGGCTTTGCTATAACCAGGTTACTAGAATGCATGTGAACATGTTCTCTGATTTCTCAGAGTAACCTGATTTATCCAGATATAACCGTTTCCTGTTTGCATATAAACAGCCATCTCAGTACAGAACTACTGTGTACCGCTCCTCTACTACAAAGTGGAAAAAAAACCATTTTCCACATCCTATTTAGCAATGTCACACAGTACAAAAGGGACAAAGCTGTCTGTCATTTGCATTGAGAAGCTCAAGATTATAACCTCATATCATCTCAATCATCAACATCTGGAAAAATCCTGGTGTGGAGGATCATCCCTTGCAATTAGGCCTGGGTCTCCAGTTCTAACAGGACAGTCTTCAAAGACCACACAGTCATCAGCCTGAAGGTAGAAAGACTGAGATTCTAGACCACAGAGTGAGAGATTAGAAACCTGACGTTATGATGTGACGTCTAAAGGCCCCTGAGAGAACTTCCAGCGGAAACAACCAGAACTCTGATGTGTTCCAGCAAACTCAAACTTTTTCTGGCAACGCGTTGATTACAACTCGGCCACCTTGGGAACTCTGTCTGCCACCCAAAAATGAAAATCAAGTTGAAGGATCACCGCTGGAGAAGATCCAGTAGATGAAGGCACAAGTGTCCACTAAAACCTAAAAATAGCAAAATGCTCAAAACAGTCTAGAGGCACAACAACAGGAATATGTTAAAGGAGAAATCAACCAAACCCAAAATCAGCTAAGGCTTTTCATTTTTGTGGGCCCAAATACTGGATCAGACCTTATAAATCTAGCAAACACTTCAAGAAAGCGAAGGAAACTCAGACAAATACAGGAGTATTTCCTTTGTGGTCTTCTGCTTTCTCATAAGAACTAAAACATTCAACAACTCTCTCGGCCGAGGAGGACTCAATTTAGCACAACTTGTTTAGTGCAGTGGGTTCAGCAAACCTTTACTTTCCATAAATCATATTCATTTCATTTTGGTTTCACTCCATAACCTTCCCGCCTCACCTGCAATGACTCTATGCCCTACCCGTGAGGCTCGCTAAACTTCAGGAAAAAAGCACACATGCAGTGTCTCTGAGAGAATTTTGTACTACAGATGCATCGAATCAGGAATAAAATTCTGAGACTCTCAAAAATCCAAATCAAGGTTAGGACAAACATCCTCTGACAGCTTTCAGTCACAGTTAAATATTCAAAAACTGCAGGACTGTGTGGGTCTAGTCTGACATGTATGTGAACAAAAGCATCAAGCAACCAGCTGTCATCAGATTCTCATTCTGACTATGATCGCTGAATTAAAGCTTTTAAAAACTGAGCCATCAAAACTTTCTCTCGCTTACATCTGTTGCACCTCCATCTGGTCTCCACGGTAACAAGATCGAAGGATGGTCTGCTGCTTAGCGTCCCACAGGTGCTCCTTTAGGAAACCCCCAGCCTTCACTGCTCTCTCCACCAAGTCCTTGTCTCCCAGCACAGCTCCGACGCGAGCGTAGGCCGACAGCATCAGGCCTAACAGGGAGAAAGTAACGGTGATGTCGTTGAGGGTGAGTGTATTGAGGTCACCAAGTAATAAAATGACATACTCACTGCTTAGGTATCAACATGTAGCCCCTGCCACACTTCCAATTTAGTTATCCCCCCTCTCTCCTTTGAAGTCCCCCTGTTCCTCCTCTTGTCCCTATCTGCATCCATCCTTCCTCCCGCTTTCCCTCCACCCGTCTTTTATGTAGTAAATCAAAGCCTAGTGAGTGCACAGCCTCGCCTTCAAAGTTTTGCAGCAGAGGACAGGTGATTAATGGCAAGGTTTCTTCATTAGAGAGGAGACAGAGAGTCTTGCGTCTAATTGGAAAGTTCTCAGGATCGCCGAGCTTCATTACCTCACTAACACACACTGTCTGAGACGTCAGCCCGGGAGCCAAATTCGTGGGTGCACTTGTGTATGTGTGCTCTCTTGTAATTAATCGAATCTGAGACAATGTGCAGGACAAACAGTGCTAAGGAGACATCACATTAATCCCAAATGACAAGTGTCTGTAATAATCTACGCACACTTTGACACTGCAGAAAAACGGCGTGCTCGTGAATATGAGCGGTATTTACTGTAAATATATGACAGTCTGATAAAATTGCTTGTGCTAACTTGACATAATCAGAATCAAACTGTCTTGTTGAGAAAAGAAGAAGTGCTCATAATCTATCAACTAATATAATGTAAGGTGTCTGTTTCCGTTGTGGAATTAATGGTCACATTGTGAAACATCCCACAGAAAAACTTCTCCTTTCTGGCACGCTGTGTTACACTTTTGATCATGTCTGCAACCTGAATCCCTGATCAGACAGATCACTGCCTCTGATTACGAGGCTGAGCTGTCTATCGATACTTAGCTAATCCAGCCAAAGGATCGATGAGCTCATGCCACAGCCGTGCACAATTTACAAGACCCGCGACTCCTCCTGTGTTAATGGTCAGAATTTAATCAGACTTACACACAGTGATCAACTTATTGGTCTTAACCCAAACTGTGCCCAAAGGTCAACATCACTTTTGTCATTTTGAGGCAATAAGCTCAGAACTGTGACCGATCGTGAAACGCTTGAACTACTACGTCACTGACATTGTTTTTTGTGCATGTCCTTCATAGTGACATAGTTTGATGTTTAAAGTCACAGCTTTTCCAGTGGTGCACTCTAGCACTGTTACCTAAAGGTCGCTGTCCAACTTTCTCCTGCAGCATGGAGGGAGACACAGTGCAGGTCCAACAATAAATAGTAACTCTAAGTTTGAAGCTTTATATTAAATTAATGGCTAAACTTTGTATGTAACAACAGATGACATTTGTTGATTTGTGTTAAGAAAGAAAGTGTAGGTTGGCAGTTACTCTGTGGGACAGATGAAATTCAGATGAAAGGCCCCTAACTCACCAGTCACACAACACTAACTGACCAATCAAGGTAGGAGCACACAAACAACTGTGTTTACTGCTGTTTTGGGAGGTAAAATTACTGGTTTTGTCAATGGAGTCTGACTGAGTGCACCGCCTTCTCTTCAGGTAAAAGCCTGGAAATGTCCTAAACATAAAGTACACTTAAACAGATATTGATCCCTTTTTGTGGCTGAAATCCATGTTGGCGCTGACTGTGTCCTCAGCAGTACATGGCTATAGTTTCTGTGCTGTGTGCTGTCTGTTTGAGTTTCTGTCACTGGCATCTACTGAAGAAAACAAACTGACCGTGGATCACAACCTCAGCCAGCCTTACTTCAGATAAAATTATCTATCCCCAGCTAAACAGGCAAAATTACTTCTGATATCTCAAATTTGGTTTTGTACAAAATGCAGACATATGTATTGGGTATCACCACTCTAGGAGTGTTTGGTCCATTTAAGGTACAAAAAAAAAAAAAGATTAAAGGACTAAAGAGGGGGGCTGAGAAGGGAGTAAATTTTCTATCGTCCAAAAAATGACCATATTTAGGCAAATTTATGAGAACAGGAAGTTACTAAATGAATTTCCAATTATTTCTCATCTTATCTTACAGAGCTCATAGTGCTCCAATAATGCTCTGCATTTAATCATTAGTTATTACTAATCTGTGGCTCACTTTCAGTCTGTCTTTTGTCCCATCTTCCTCCCCTACTCCCAGCCAGTCACAGCAGATGGCCGCCCTTCACTGACCCTGGTTTTGCCAGAGGTTTCTTCTGGTTAAAATTGAGTTTTTCCTTCCCACTGTCGCCAAAGTGCTTGTTCGCAGAGGGTCGTCTGATTCTTGCTTTATTCTCTATTATTCGTAGCTTCTTTACTTTACAATATAAAGATCCTTCAGGGGACTGTTTTGAGTTGACAGCTATATACTGCTCCTTAGTGGAGAGCATGCTCTCCTGCTGCCTGGCTGTTTAGTACCCAGGGGCCACAAAAGAGATCAGGAAGGCTGTACAGAGGGTAATTAACACCACCTCAAAAAAATCACTGGCTGCCCTCTGCCACCCTTTGAGCCCATCACCAGCTCCTCCCATCTCAGGAAAACCAGATCTATCACAGGTGCACCCCGACCACCAATTTCCTGCCCCGCTGCCCTCCCGCACCTCCAGACTTACAAACAGCTTCTTCCCCTGGGCCATTCTCACATGCAGTCTTTTCTTTGCTCTACATCCAAGCACTTTGCAACTATTTTGTTCTCTATTGTGTGCCTTTCTCTTGTTTTGTATAAATCCCTCTTGATTGTATATATTTCTTCTGTTTGCTATTTATTCCTGCTGTGTACAGTTTAGATTTTGCTCCAGCACAGTTGGTGTGGAGCACCCACAATTTCGTTGTATGTGTACATTAACAATAAAGGGCTATTCTATTCTATATAAATATAATTGAATTGATTAAAAAAAAAAGAAAACAGGAACAGGTTTTCACAAAGACTTGTAGTGTGCCCAAAAAGGATAAAGTGATTTCAGTGACACTTCACTGTATGAGTGCAAAGCTAACACAGCTGAGTGTTGCACTCTGTAGACGGTCGCAGCACATTCCTCTCACAGTCAGCTACATATGACTTATTAATGTGTATTATTGCTCCAGGTCTGCCTCGTTTTAATAAAAAAGAACTTGTGGGCTGTTGACGTCCTGAATAAAATGATTGAAAAAGGTGCTGTTGGAGTTCTAAAAACGCTCCTCATGAGTTATTGATTCCAGAAAATGGAAAATGTGAATTTCTTCCCTACCTAAACCTGAAAAGTAAAGCGATATAGTTCCTTGACTAAAGTGAACGTGTGTTTTTAGTGGTCTTTTGTTCCCTATAAATTTGCATACATTTTTAACACTCAGTGGCCTTAATATATATAAAGCTGCACCATTCACCCTCAAATGTTTTTGTTCATATCATCAAGCCCTATTACTGCTGTCACTCATTACGATTACTCATCTATTAAACAGAAAAATCAATGATGCTGAGCCTAAGAGCCATTTGAATGACTGGAAGTGACCATTTCAGTGCTGTAGTGTAAACTTTACCATTCCAGGAGGCCAACATCTTGGTGTCCAGATGAGGGCGTGGCCGACTCTTTCTCACTACGGCCATTTTGGCTCTGGCAGAGGCCAGGAGCTCATTGACTTTCTCGACAGTGATGCCAAAGCGAGCAGCTGTTAACTCGACTGAATAACGCACGATCAGCACATTCTGGCCCTGCAGCTCCCCGTGGGGGTCCTGGCAACACACAGTACAGGGAATAAGAGGGTGTTCACACATACTGATCCACACTGACTGCAGCATTTTTCATGTTAATGGTTACTGACACTATCAAGTCACCTTAAAGTCCTCTGTGACTGAAGTATAATAAACCATTATCATTCTGTGCATATTCACTTTCATTCATTGAGCAAGACCAACACAACTAGAACAAAAGTACCTGTTCTGGAGCAACATTGCCTTGCTCTTTGACCCATAGTGATGCATAAAGATGTCAGCCAGCGTAGCATTACCAGCGGTGCCCTCCACCACGTCTGGTAAGAGCTCCCGAACTTCAGAGGCTGTCCACACGCAGAAAGCCCCCTCTCGCTTTTCTGGTCCCCCCGAAGCCGGGACAGAGTCTGCATCCTCTGCACTGTAGAAGCCCCCAGACTGTTTCAGAGAACGCACAAACACACAGAGAGGGCAGGAGGAGGGAGAGGGAGAGACAAAATGCACTGTTGTAGATCAGTTGAGAAACATGCAACAGTATTCACGACACTCTTTCTGTTGCTGTGACATGATGATGAAAAACAACTATCTGAGAACATGAAAAAATTATTTTAGACACTGAAATTTCACAAACGCATTAATTCGGAAAGCTTCGGAAAGTAAAAACACATGAAAACCTAAAACCGCGGCAGTTGGTTGGAGGAAAAGCAGGACGGTTTAGCATCCTTTTCCTAAAATGAAGACTTAAACACTGCACTGCTACTGCACTTTTTTAAGCTCATAACTGGCCTATTAATGTGGTTGGGAAACACAGAGATTTGCCAACCACAAAGTTTAACAGGGTTTTAATAGATCTACTGTAAAAAACACATAATGACTCTCAATTAATTTCAACCCCTATGATGCAAGATAAATCAAGCTTCAGGTAGTTAAAAAGGAAATACAGAGACTGAAGATCACTGGGACCCACACAGCTCACAGGGAACCAGCTGAAGTAAAAAAGTACTCCAGTAATTTAGCCTGAGGACAATCACGGAGTCTCCCTCACTGTGGGAAGATCCCACCCACTGTATTACAAAAAAGCAGCATGAAGTCTGTAGAAAATGATCTTTGCAGCACCAATTCATTAGCCTGTAATTGCATAATAAATCTTAGGGAATATTATTATTGCAACAAGTCTGGTTTTAATTGTGTGCCCAATTCACTTCTGTCGCCTCATTTAACAAAAGGGGGGGAAAAAGGCTTGACCCTTAGACGAGAAGCAAGAGTTTAAGAGGCTATTCATCAACGGGGTCCCACCTCGTGACCTTGAGGATGCATGAACAAAAAGAATCCATAGAAAGGAACTTAATACAGTGTCGGCTTTAATATGCCTGTGCATTGATTCTCCAAGTCTGTGAAAGATGTCTTGACACATGCTCAATCATGCAGGTAAGAAAATCCCCAAAAAGTTTTTTGGGACTGTAGAAAGATAAACATGGTTAGTGTCATAAATATCTCCCTTAGCTCCACAGTGTAGGGGTTTACACATTTGCTCAGCTGGAAACATAAATCCTCTTTGGGGTTATATCAGGAAGGACATCCGGTATAAAAGCTCTGCCAAACTAAACCTTTAAAGTTACCTGCTGTGATGACCCTTCATGCCAAAGAAGCAGCCAAAAGAAACTATTTCTTGTGAAATAGTTTCTTTATTTGCTGATTTACAAAACCATCACAATGACGGTGAAGTTCCCATTACCACAAAAACAACACAGCAGTTGTGCACACAGAAATGGCAGACTCACCTTGTCGCTCAGGTCTCTGGAGACGTAAAGCAGTACATCCTTAGCCACTTCTGCAAAAAACTGCTCACCTGAAACCTGGAAAAACAGAAACGCACACAAGTCACCTCCCAAAGCAACATGATTTAACCTTAACATGACCTCACAGGTACTGTCACGTGGAGTGGTCTGTGCAGTATGCAATGAGAGTTCTATTTGTTTGAGTTTGTATGTTTGTGTCCTAATTAGGGTTTGTTTTTCAGTCTCTGACTTAAAAGCAGGCCAGCCCAGCAAGCACTCACGGGAAAACTGAAAACTATGGCATTCAGATTCTTAAGTTGTTTGCTGCATCATAACTCAGTGCTGCCCACTGCAGTGAAAAACACTGTTTGAAGTGATGTACTAAAAACAGTAGAGTACAGTCATTTTGACTGAGGGCTAAATAAATAAAATGAAAGTTACAAAGTACAGTCTGACCACTCCTGGATTTTTAGGACCTATGTTGATACAGACTTTGAGGAAGCAAAAAAAATTCCAGCATTACATCTACAATACTTTTTTTACTGTACTATATTAGCGATGTGTGAAACCACTTGAGATGACTAGATGTTTAATCACTGCTGCCCTTGATAGTGATCATCAAAATTACTGCGTAGTTTAAGAAATTCATCCATTTCTTATTCAATTCTGGGTCACAGGGCGCCTGACCCTATCCCAGATGTCATAAAGTGAGAGATGGCGCATTTGCCGCATTAATTAAATTTTTTTTTTTTTTTTTGCTATGTCTGGTTTTATTACTATGTGCATATTAGTATTGTACAGCACTTTGGTCTACCAGGTGTGTTTTTAAAGTGCTAGATAAATAAATAAATGATGATGAAAGAAATCTGTTATCACAACTCTTTGGGCTCAAACTGTAAGAAATAAATGTGTAAAATTACAGAATATGTTCTGGTAGGCCATTGCCCAAACAATAAGCCTCACAATAACAGCACATGTGTTGTCACTGTGAGTGTTTGATTTGACTCTGAAACAAAGTAAATGTTTGCCATCTCTTATGCTGGAGATTTTAGGTTGGGGGGTAACATTAATTATGCAGACAAGAGAGAAAGATCAGAGCTAATTACACTGTCAGATACACAAACAGCCACACAGAGACAATTGCACACACCTGGGAAGCTGTTATGTAGGCAACAGCCAGCTGAGCCTGGTCGTACAACATCTTCTCAAAGTGAGGAACATGCCAGGAGGAGTCTGTGGAGTAACGATGAAAACCCTGAGATAAAGAGACATAAAGAGGGAGGCTGCTTAATTTTACTCACTAAAATTAGTTGAAAGTATCAGTACTACAACATAAGTATATCTGACTTGAACTAAAAACACGATTATATTAAAGAGACCAAGAGTACATCTGTGTGTTTTTGTGTCTGACATGAACAAACCAGGCTTGCACATTAGAGAAGCACCACTTCTGACAACATTCTGACAACTTTTTATTTAATTTTCTTGTTACTTGATGAATAAAATGTCCTAACCGTACAAAATGCCCTTTGTAAGAGCTTTCCTCTACAGTTTTGATTCAGTCTGTCATGCATCTCTATGACTCGCCACTGCATTCTGTATGATTTGATGGGTTGGGCATCACTGACCACATGCACAAAATAGCACTAACATATTTTGGTTTTCTGGGTAAACTTCCAGGTTGTCTTGGTATCCTTGTCTGTTCGAGCACAAATGCCCTTTTAAGACTTTGCTTTTTTGATGAGTTCTGACAGATGTGGGAAAAACAGCGTTTTATTAAAACACACCTAAACTTAAACATGCCAGTTTCTACTAGTGAATTTAAAATGATCATAAAATGGAATGGATTGAAAGAGACCTGTGGATGTTTTTCATGAGAGGCTTCTAATATTTTATGTTATGGATACTTGTATATAGTACGTTATGCTGCAGACCTCACAGAACAGAGCAGGCCTCAAGGACATTGGATGTGGCATTAATTATGCTAGAAAAAGGTTGAGCCAGGGTAGAGTTGGGTTGCAAAGCAGCATGCAGAGTCAGCAGAAATGGTGGGGACAAGCTACATGACAGCTGCCAGTGTCACAAACTGTATCAGCTGAGCATCAGCTGAACTAAAAGCATCTGCCCTGTCAGCCAGAATTTAGGGTTAATTTATAAATTTTTCTGACAGTTAATTTACTCCCTATTTTTCATGAATCTTTACCACTCAACCTGGTGGTTTGAATTTTGTTTTTCTGTGTTTAATATTTATTCATATATCAATTTTTTTACAACACTTTGCCATTCATAATCCTGTTACAAAAAAAACAAAAACAACAAGAAAGAAAAACCCTGAATTACAACACTAGTTTGGTTTGTTTATACCTGTGCAATGTGGTCATGGATGCCTCCCAGTGCCATCATGCGAAGCGTGTGCAAGGCCATCTGGAGAGCCTCGACCCCTTCCGATGTGGAGCGATTCACAGTCCAATAGGACATGAGGAACATCAGATTCACTACAGATGCATAGGCAAGAGAGAGAAAACAGGAAAAGACTTGCTGTCAGGTAGTCAAATAAAGAATTTTCTACAGGCCTTAAAGCTACAGAGCTGACCACTTGGGCTCATGTCGACCTGGTGAGGGGAACTTTGGAGCGTCTCTAAAGCCTCCATACTCTTCCTCATAGGAATGGGCGAGCTGCTGGAAGCAGCGATTAGCCACGTCTGGAGCCAGTGGAGGACTTTGGCCTGCGTTTGCAGTGATGGTTGTGCCTTTTTTCAGGGCCTCAATGATCCTCTCCCCACTGGACTCCAAAGCAGGACGATTATTCTGCCACTTTAGAACACAAGTCATACTTTATGTCATTCATACATTTCCACAGAGACAGCACAGGAGGGTAAAGAGAACAAACAAAAATATAATTTAAATCTCTTTAACGACTTTTTTTCATCCCCACTAACAATGCATGAAATCTGATATAATAATGTTCCCTAATTCTTGAAGTTTTACTACCTGATCTATGATTCTGGTGAGGACCGTCTTGAACCCAGGTCTACCTCCACGGTCTCTGGGAGGGAAGTAGGTGCCTCCAATGAAAGGTCGAAGTTCAGGAGTCAACCACACACTCATAGGCCAACCACCACCTCCACTTGTTGCCTGGAAATAATTCCCAGGCAAAAATTATAAAGGGGCACTAGCAGAGTGAAGCTGAAAGAGATTTTCATGTGAAAATGTAAATGTATACAAACCTGCACAAAGGTCATGTAGACCTTATCCACATCAGGCCTCTCTTCTCTGTCTAGCTTGATGCAGATGAAGTTTTCACTAAGGATTTTGCCAATTTCCTCGTCCTCGAAGGACTCCCTCTCCATAACATGGCACCAATGGCATGTGGAATAGCCCACTGGAGGTCAAGCAAAAGAAAATTCTTAATGTAGTGATCCAGATATCTGTAATCTATGTCTCGGAGATTTTTTTTTAACTCTTACCGGATAAAAATATTGGTTTGTCTTCATTCTTTGCTTTGTCAAAAGCATCCTTCCCCCATGGATACCTGACCAAAAAAGGAAAAAAGAAAAACAAAACGTGGCATTTGGCCGTGCTTTCAGAAAGTATGTCCATCTGAAGTTTAAAAAGCACTCACCAGTCGACAGGGTTGTGCGCATGTTGTAGCAGGTATGGTGACCTCTCCTTAGCTAACCTGTTGGAGTGTTTGTGAGAAGTGGATGATGGCCCTTCACTCCCTGACGCCATACTCATGAAGACAGATGGACTGGACACACAAGATGCTTATGAATGTGGATCCTGATTCTTATTAGCAAAACAGAGCAATCTTGATGTTGCTGCCTCGGTGTGGGCCCAAATACAGTGACTAAATACCTTACACAATGTTAAGCCAGCCCCAGGATGTCATTGTGTTACCCTTGAGTAATACGATAAAAATACAGCTACAACATTCAGTTCAAATTTCTCTATACATACCCGTTCCTTACAGAAACACTGTCAATACCCTGTGTAGTATATCGACAAAAGAATATATAAAATAATATACTAATATTGATAGGTTAATTTTTTCTAATTACAATTCTTGAGCGTTTCTGGGGCTGTACAAGCTTGTTCAGCAGCTCATTAAAGCTGCAGTAGCTGTCAAGCAGCTGTTAGTCCAGACTGGCAGCCGTGGCGAATTCCATTTGAATATTCTCCAATTTATTATGACTTAGCTAAAAAATAAAAGTTCATACCCCGGAAAACGTCAACAAACAGCTTTCACTTTATGAGTCATTTTTGTTGAATTCGGGTGGAAAAGCTGCACATATGTGCGTGATTTTTCACGTGTAACTTAGAAGCACAATGCTAGAATTTTCATCGTTAGCGGAGGGTGGTCGATGAGTTACCAAGAAACCAGCAAGAAAAGCTAACCAGTTAATAGAAACCAAAACATATTGTCAGCCTTTGTACTTACACCGAATTGAAATGCGTGGCATTATGATTTTAATCAAATGTTTGCCCCTACGGGGGAATGTCTCTGGCCACGAGTTAGCCTTAGGGACATATTAATATGAATGATTTTATATGGAAGTATGGTGTGGTTCGACACTCGTTAGTGCTATTGTGCCACAAGCAACAACCGTATCATAATACAACAGGTCGTGACTTTTATGCTAAGCCCGCTATGCTTGCTGTAAAATGTCAAAGCAGTGTTTACGTACAGCTAGCATTAGCTACACATTAGCTGAGGCAGCGTTACCTGAGGTAGCAGGCCGCCCGGGATGGAGGAGCGGTGACCTGTCGCTTGGTGGGTGGGGAATTTGTCTGAAACACCTTAAGTCACCCTGTGATTTCTGCTGTGGACTATACGCTCCCGAATAAGCTGCAGTTAACACGCATGTAGGTCCCGCGCGGCTATGTTTGGATGCCGAGCGACGCCATGCTAGTCTTAACATCCTAATCCACCAAGTGCGTCACTTTAGCAAGCTAACGTTAGCTAGTTTGTGAAGAGACAGCAGTCAAAACTTCCAGGCATGAGTTAAACACTTTTTTTTGCAATACCCTCACTTGACAGATGGAGGCGCGACAACAAAGCAGGAGTGGGGATCACAGGAGATAATGTATTTGTTTTGGTGATACAAAATAAAAATGACAAACTGTGCAGTAACGTCTTCTCCCAAGTTTGTTATTTTCGTAAACGAATTTAAATTAAATATAAAATCTTTACATTACCTAAAGGAAATAAAACACAAATTCTAATATATTATAAACCATCTTCGCATTGCATTGGATATGTGAGATAAAATATATATCTGCACTTTTTCCTACCTCCTTGTGTATGTGGCTTATAATTTAATATTACACCCTGTTCATATGCTTATTTTTCTACACATTTTTTATTTTATTAATTGTTATTAGTCTTGAATTTATACAACACAAAATGTGTTTGTTTTTGTATTTGACACATTAAATAAAAATTTAAAAACAATTTATTGTTTATTTAAAAAAGCAATACAATACTTATGTACAAGCAAAATATTTAAGCCTCTAGTAACTGTACAATATTTATATCTTTTCAATGAACCGATGAGTTATCTATGGTTTAAAGAATAAAACACACACACACCGTCATATTCAAACTAAAGAAACACAATACTTTTTCAGTTATGGTTTCATTAGTGCAGAATTGAGCTCAACAACTGTTGACACAAAGTCCTTGCGAGTTGCCAAGTCTGAGGCAACGATGTTCACACCTGATTGCTGCTTCAGCCATTTCAGGAGCTTAGGCAGACCCCTCCTAATAACGTTGGGGAAACTGTCGCAGAGACGAAGGATGTAGATGAGTATCCTATGATCTGCTGGAAGAGTCATGTTCAAACCACATACAAAGAAATCTGTGGGGAACAAGTTGAAGCTTAGTAATTATCTCAAATTATATTGTGTATAACCTGGCTGTTTAAAACTTTTTTCTCTCTGAATAGATGTTATTTTGGATATTTACATCCCAAGTAATATTGTTTTTTGATCACCAAAGATGAATGTCTTGCTGTCTATAACTTATAACATGGCATAGTTGAGAAAACTCACAATTGGAAGTCTTTTCCTTTCCCAAGGCTTCAGATATTTTTGATTTAACTTGTGCACGGTCCATGCTATTGGCGTAGTAATAAGTTATTTTTTTCCACATTTCAGGATGGTAGTTTGCTGGATAGTCATATGAAACTATGACATTTTTGCTTGGTCCCAGCAGTTCTGCAGTGTGGGGATGCCCTGTTGTAAGATAATGAATATCTTATTTTGAAACTATAAGCAAAGGTTACAGTAAGTACTTCAACAATGAGACTTATTTGACCTACTGATCTAAGAATAAATGAATACATTTTTTAAAAAAGAAGAAAAACTGTACACTACCGGGGGACGAGTGTGCTTCCAAACATGGTCTTAATGAAGCCGATAAGATGGTTGTGAAGTTTATCTTTAATGTTTTTCTCAAAACCATTGAAGTTTGAAAAAGCCAGGATGATGACTTCTTTAGGATGGGCCACTGTCCAGGCATGTATTTCCCCGAGAACAGTCTGAACTCAATGGGAAAATTAGCTGGCATTAGATAAAAGAAATCTTCTTTATAGGGTTCCTTCATGACACAGTAAGTGAGCACATGTGTTATAAATCACATTAACTAAGGCTAATTACCAAAATAGAACAGACACTTCATAAAGGAAATCAGTAACACCTGTGTTTATTTACCTTTGGTCATATTTTAAAACTTGAACTAGTTTTAAAACAGGTCTTGCCTAAAGCTTAGTAAAGGTCTTCTTAAGTTAAAAAAAATCTGCTAAAAGTTCAGTTATTTTTATATCAAAAAATTTGATATTTTAGTCTTGTACTTTTGTATATATAGTCTTGTACTTTTACATAATATGCTTATTATTACCTCAACATCAGTGCTTGTGTACAGCCCATGGTAAAAGTAAAGCCTAGTGGGATGGTGGTCATTACGTTTGCGAGCGATCCTCAAGTCAAAGTAGCGAACTCCTGCTTCCAGTTGCATTGTGATGTTGTATTCCTGTGATAAAAACCAACATCAGTCAAACATTCCATTCTCTGTTTGTTACGTTCACCTATAAATTTGATAGCGGCAGGTCAGAAACTCCCCTTACCTGGGTCATTCCCCATGTTCGTACTATTCTGCGTAAGCAATAAATCCAGCTGAATCGTTTTAGATTGTCAGGCTCTATAATAGCAGAGCTGGCATCCAAATCATAACTCACAGAGTCATGGCTTCCTACGAATGAAACACACAAATGCCTTACCAATGTTGTTTTAAAATGCTGTACAGATTTGGGAGTTGTTTTTTTATGGTGTATTTATGGGATTTTTTTTCTCATGTAGCTCTATAGTCCTCTTTTAAATGTAATGTGTATGGGCACAAATTATGGTCATAAATATTTTGTACTTGTAAATCAGGATTTGTATGTGTAAAAAGAATTTGTGTGTGCATAAAAACATTTGTGTGTGGACTTAGCCAAAACATACAAGTGAAACTCTGCACTCAAGTTTCAAGTTACTAGTACAAATTTTGACCCTAGTTTTCTTCCTTTCATCTGATTGGTCATTGTCATGTCAATCACAAATTTAACAATCCAATCAGAGAACAGATGGGTTTGGCTGTGGAGGGGCGCTTTTTTGAACTGCAGGTCCTTGAAGGGTAATACAGTTTGAAGCTGGAAGATCTCTATATAAATATCCGATAGAAACTAGGTCCCCTAAATTTCAGTAGCTGTTGAAAGGATAAAGTTGTGGTATATCAGTGGTTAGAAATACCATTATTACTTTAAAGGTTAAAGGTTAATTAAAGGTCCTTTCACATTGGATGCATGTGCTGCTAATGCTAGCTGCTAACTAAAAGCCAAGGATCCAAAATTTGTTGCGCTGGCTGCTGAGCTCTGTGGGGTTTTGCGGCAGCTCTACCTGTACTAGATGCACCTGCTCCTTGTCGTTTCTATCTCTGACTTTATGTCCTCTACAAGAGTTTCTGTTTTTTTTTTATCTTCAAATGTTCAATAGAAACATGTAACGCTAATTCATAACGAAGAAAGCTTTGTAACTATCCCCACTAGTGAAGACTGTCATTTCCACAACACTGCCATTTGGGTACAGTCTCCGCACTAGCCAAGTACAACTACTGTATTTCTTGCAAATAATTAACAAATTAATTAACAAATGCAGCAGAAACCACAACCTTTTTCATTCATTTTGTTTGTTTGAATTCTGACTGAATAAATGCTACCACTAAATGCTATTGGAGGTGCCCCAAAAAAATCTGCAGTGTAGATTGCAGAAAAGTATTTCTGTTAACAAAATGGTCCGATTTGACACACTGTACATGCTGTGTTTGATGTTGGACACAGTTGCACTGTATACATTTACCTGGTATGGCTAGTTTGAAGAGAGGAATTGTCCAAAGTTCAGATGGTAGTTGTGACATCCAGTCAGTGTAGTTCGCGATCTTTATATTCCCTTTCTTTGCAGACATCTACACAAAACATTTTTAAACTTACGGGAGAGTCTCTTAGAAATTCAGTGGTTCTAGGCAACAGTGAACACATTAAGCACAAACATAAAGGTCACAAGTTTTAAGAATTAACACTTACCCTGCCAAAGTCATGCACCAGCTGTAGTTTACTTCGTTATTCCTTCAGATTTGACAGTGTACACAAACTGACACAGTCAGACAATCAGAGGCTTAGCTTTGTCACTGCTCCTCAGAAGGACTTCATTGTTATGTTGTAAGAGTTAAAACGTCAGCTGTCTTACCGGTTTTGCAAGGATGCAATCAAAACAAGGAATGTTTGATCAACAAGATATAACGCCCCAATGAAGCTTCCTCATACCCTCAGTATTCACTAGGAAAAAAACAAAGGCTTTCACTACACTTTTAATTCTGATATTAGTGCAGACTTCAGTAGTGGATTTCAGTCTGCACTCAAAAAAGTAAACTAAGGCACTTGTTTGATGAGTTCGTTGATAAGTTTAACCGATGTCTCTAGCAATAAGATCTCTGGAAATTATTGAGAAAAAAACCAAGGGCTGAAACACTTTTTTGTACTAAAAAGGTTTGCAGGGTGCATATTTATCAAGAGTACCATTACAAACTGTTCAGAAAAGAGATCATTACCTGCAGGACAGACATCAGTAACAATATTTAAATTTTTTTGATAGACATGCTGAAGTGACGAAGGAAGCCTGAAAAGAATCTTTAATACAAATCAGTACTCTGTCTCCTTTGGTTTTCCTGTCAGTTTGACAAATGCCGCCCAATGTTATGTCCAAATCAGAGAGATTTTTGTTTAGCTAGACTACAGCAAGGACAAAAATATTGAAACAGCATTCACACATTATTAAATGTAATAATCCTTTTCTATTTTTTGAAATCATGTAGGCAAATTATTTCAGTAGGGCTGCTTGGCACTTGTTGTCTCAGCAGGCTGTTTATTGATCTTTATGAGAATATCTGAATTATTTTAGCTAGACAGGCAGGCAAATGGCCTGTTATTGCCATTAATTTGATCTATATATGTCTAAATATTTGCTGAACACTGCTAAGAAAAACTATATTAGAGAGAAAACCTAGTCTTACCTAAACTATTTCTTGGAGAAGTAGCACTGTTTTTTCTTTAGCTTCAGAGAGCTACTCCTTGAAGCTTCTGCCTCCCTCTCATTCACACACATGTTCTGTCTTGCTTCTATTGACTTTCATTCCTCTTCTCACCAGAGCATGCCTCCATCTCTCCAGGCTCAGCATTATGATCTTCATAATGCCGTCTGCAAACAGTATAGTTTACAGAGACTTCTGCCTGATTTCATCAGTCAACCTGTTGCTACTGTAAAGGCTCAGAGCAGATCCCTGATGTTGTCCCACACCGCCTTAAATCCATCTCTCTCTGACCGAGATCACTGTCTTGTTAACACTGAAAGTCTTATGCCACCCTCACATATAGTGCTTCTCTGCCACTCCTGACTTTCTCGTGCAATACCACAGTTTTGCCGTTGACACCCTATCATATGCTTTCCCTGAATAACAAAAGACTTAGTGCAACTCCTCCTGACCTTCTCTATACTTCTCCATCAACACTCTCAAAGCTAACATCACATCTGTAGTGCTCATTCTAGGCATGAAGCCGTACCGTTGCTCACTGATGGCCACCTCTGTTCTTAAAAAGAGAAACTAGCTGTCAACAGGGTTAAACCACTGAGGAGGAGGCCATTCTTAAAATGTATTCAAACATTAATTTCCACTCTTGTAAATTACAAAGTGAACTCATGCGTAATAAATCACATATTTACTCTTGTCTGTACACAGATTGTTCTCTGCGACATTCTTAAGCCATCTGGTTTGACGAGTAGTCTAGCCTACTGTTGACATGACTCACCTTAACTTGTGCTACCGGTAGATCATGTTTTTAGCATCCACAGCTATCAGATTGGTACATATGGGCAAAGTAGTTACTGTTTTGTGTAATGTATTGTGTTGTAGGCTACAGATTTATTGTAAAGGAAACAGGTTGGAGGAGAGATACACCGGAGCCCTATAAACACTGTTTATGGAGTAATCAAGTTAAGATAAAGTTATTCTGTTAAATGTAAGTTTTGCATAGAGGGGTTACTATTTGGGAAGCATTTTAGATGAGGTGTTAGCAGCCTATAAAAGACAGATTTGAAATGCTTTGTTCTATATGAACAATGACCACAAAACAGAAACAAAATATTTATTTAACTTTTTTTTATTAGACTTTTGATGTTGCAAAGCCGACTATAACACAAAAATTTATAGGCTTTTCAAGGACTTGACTTCAGGTTGATTATCTAGCCTTGGCCAGACCCAACATATTCTGGCCTCTTTTGTAGATTGAATAATACTGTTTGAGGAAGACATCACTCAGGGTCCACATGTTGCCACCTGTAGCACCGAAGCCTTAGCCTAAACACTACCATTTGCAACATCCACATGTAATTGATTAAAAATATTTACTTTGTTTTCTGTTTTTTTTTTTTCTGTGTACTTTTACTTAGAAACTGTGATCACACTGATCACACATAAATTATTGCAAAGCTCTGCATACCAATAATGTGAATGCTGAAAGAGCATTTGGGTCTTTGGGTTGTGGTGGAGTAAGATATTTACATCATGGTAGCTGAAACGTGCAGCAAATGTGTGATGCTGTCAATATGGTAAGGTAAGCTTGGTAAGCAAGCTGCCCCAGTCTAAGTTTACTCCTAATGGGTAATTGCTGAGTGATCGGAGGGTGAAATTAATGTCTTTGCATGCTATTATTAGCATTTTACTCCCTAATATGTCTCCCAGAGCTGATAGTATGACATTCATATTCATTAAAGAAGGTCATCATTTATGAGTTGATATCATTCACCCCCAAAATTTTGTTTTGGAGACACATGTTTTTCACACAACAATTACAATACCAGTTGGAAACAACTGCACTGTTATTATTTACTCAGCATGGCTAGTTTAAACAGAGGAGGATGGCCTTTGTGACAATCCGCCATTGAAGCATTTATTTTCCCTTTGCCTTTTTCTGCATAGATCTATAAAAAACATTTTTAGTCTCTTATAAATTCAGTGACATTAAGCAAAAATGAACAAATTAAGCTCAGGCATAAAAGTCAAAAGTGTTTGGGAATAGCACTTACCCTGCCAAAGTAATGCTCCACTTGTAGCTTAAATCTTTATCACTTTAGATTTGAGAGTGTACATGAACTGACACAGTCAACCAACTGAAGATTAGTTATTGCTCCCCAGGAGCACCTCATTTATATGCTTTGAGGGGGATAACGTCAGCTGTCTTTCAAGTTTTGTTGTGAAGCAATCTGAAAGAGGAATCTGGTAAAATCTCCTTATGCCATCATTATTCATTAGAAAATACAATGAGATCACAAATGCTTTCAACACACTTTTAACTCTCTGACTGGAGTGGACAAAAAGCCATAAATCAGTGGTTCATAAACGGTCTCTTGAATGCCGCTCTGCAGAAGCCCAAAACAATCTGAAGCGGTCGTCAACAATAAATTATGATCTACACTGAATTTGACTCTTAATAGATTTTTATATAACCATGAGCCCATTCTTAAATCCATAATTAGTGTTTTTATATAATTATGTGCCCCCAAAACATTAAACACCTTAGTTACACCACGGATGACTTCATCCTAGATCCTAAATCAGGCACACAGATCATGTTTGTGAGTTTCGTTCTCTTTCGACAAATACAATAAGAATAAACAAAAACAAATTTGTTCCTACAGACATGTGAAAACAGCACCGCGGTCAGTGGTTTCATACACAGTAACCTGCATGTCAAAGTGTTCTTGGGCAAGAAGCTGAACCCTGAATTTATCCAGATGGATCCACTGGAGTGCGGGTGTGTGAGTGTTGCGTTTAAAGTGCTTAGACATTTAAAAAAAAAAAAAACTTGTATAGATGTGTGTGAGTGAGGCTTGTAGTAAGGAAAGCACTTTGAGTCCTCACATTAGTAGAAAATGTGTACAGTGGCTTGCAAAAGTATTCGACCCCCTTGAACTTTCCCACATTTTGTCACATTACAGCCACAAACATGAATCAAGTTTTTGGATTCCACGTGAAAGACCAACACAAAGTGGTGTACACGTGAGAAGTGGAACGAAATCATACATGATTCCAAACATTTTTTACACTTAAACTGCAAAGTGGGGTGTGCGTAATTATTCAGCCCCCTGAGTCAATACTGTAGAACCACCTTTTGCTGCAATTACAGCTGCCAGTCTTTTAGGGTCTGTCTCTACCAGCTTTGCACATCTAGAGACTGAAATCTTTGCCCATTCTTCTTTGCAAAACAGCTCCAGCTCAGTCAGATTAGATGGACAGTGTTTGTGAACAGCAGTTTTCAGATCTTGCCACAGATTCTCGATTGGATTTAGATCTGGACTTTGACTGGGCCGTTCTAACACATGGATATGTTTTGTTTTAAACCATTCCATTGTTGCCCTGGCTTTATGTTTAGTGTCGTTGTCCTGCTGGAAGGTGAACCTCCGCCCCAGTCTCAAGTCTTTTGCAGACTCCAAGAGGTTTTCTTCCAAGATTGCCCTGTATTTGGCTCCATCCATCTTCCCATCAACTCTGACCAGCTTCCCTGTCCCTGCTGAAGAGAAGCACCCCCAGAGCATGATGCTGCCACCACCATATTTGACAGTGGGGATGGTGTGTTCAGAGTGATGTGCAGTGTTAGTTTTCCGCCACACAGTGTTTTGCATTTTGGCCAAAAAGTTCCATTTTGGTCTCATCTGACCAGAGCACCTTCTTCCACATGTTTGCTGCGTCCCCCACATGGCTTGTGGCAAACTGCAAACGGGACTTCTTCTGGTTATCTGTTAACAATGCCTTTCTTCTTGCCACTCTTGCATAAAGGCCTACTTTGTGCAGTGCACAACTAATAGTTGTCCTATGGACAGATTCCCCCACCTGAGCTGTAGATCTCTGCAGCTCGTCCTGAGTCACCATGGGCCTCTTGGCTGCATTTCTGATCAGCGCTCTCCTTGTTCGGCCTGTGAGTTTAGGTGGACGGCCTTGTAGGTTTACAGTTGTGCCATACTCCTTCCATTTCTGAATGATGGCTTGAACAGTGCTCCGTGGGATGTTCAAGGCTTGGGAAATCTTTTTGTAGCCTAAGCCTGCTT